GCCAGTTTAGCTTCTCCATGCCGCCGCTCGCCGCGGCGCCACACGCGGGGTCACCGGTGGGTGTGCGTGGGAAAATTTTTGGAATCCCGGATGGTTAAGTGAGAGGAGTTGTAAGTGATAGGAATAGTGAATAGGACTCCGGTGCAGTTTGGGATGAATCTAGGGTGCTGGCCGCAAAAGTGCCAACGCGCGGGCTCTCTCTGTCGTGGGCTGCGTGGGCCACGTCAGCGGGCCACGAGTGTGGGCCACGCAAGAAACTGGTTTTCCTTTTTCCAGGGAATTAGCAAATGTTTTTCTAATTTAGTTTTGACCTAATCTTTGATACATTATAACAAATCATGTAGGTGTCCAAAAATTGTGCAATAAATTCTATTAGACTCCTGAAATTTTGCTTTGTCTGTTGGTATAGTTAGTTCATGCTTATATATGTTGCCATTAGGAACTATTAAATAGTTTAAAGAATGCTTAACATTGTTAAGCAAATAATTGTAGGAATTTTGGTTGCAAAATGGTAATAGCTTTAGACACAAAAATTTTATGGTAGTTTCATTGCATTATTATGTGCTCACTGTAATTTTTGTAGCCTTAGAATAACCTAAGTCTTAGGGTAGTGGGATGCTCCTTGTTTTAATATATGTTAAATCGTTAGTAGGAGTAAGGATATATTTTTAGTTGCTAAGTTCATACTTGTTAGATGAACCCACTGCCTTGTTTGTTGAAAATAATAGTTAGCTTAGTATCTCACTCATTAGAGCTAGCTTAGTAGCTTAGTAGATGCATTCTTATTTTAAGAGTTGTTGTTGCTTAAATACTAAATGTTGCATCATCATTGCATGCATGTAGAGAACGAGTTGGTGGAGATAGTGACCACAGATGATCGTGAGCTCAAGGAGATCGTTGAAGAATATGAGGAGGAGAACCTCGTGAGGGAGGAGGTCTCGGAGCCACCGACAACTGACACAGCTGGCACTGCGCCTGCCCAAGGCAACCCCTAGTGCATAACCCTTACTTTGATAATCACTGTATGTGTATGAGATGTGTATTTACGTTACAGGAATTTTATGAAAACCACATGCATAGATATATCTGCCTATGAGTTCTACTAGTATAGGTTCGAGTAGCTGCTATGCTTAGATTTTTGGTAGCGTGAGTAACCTGCCGTTACTCACAATAGGTATTATTATAATTACTCTCATGATAAAATGATGAAAGGAAAAATAGAGACTGGATAGGGATGTGGTACGGGTATTGGTGGATATAACAGGTTGTGTCCCCGGGGCCAACGGGGCATAGCTTGGTTACACTGTTTTCCCTGTTCGTGTTGACTGAGGACCGTCCATTACTGTGGAAGGTAGTCAGGTCACAGACTTATTATCCTGAGCACATACTTGCTTATGGGAGCAGAAAGGTTCGTTACACTCTTGTCATGGATTCCGGTTCTTTTCGGACCGACTGATTAGAGGTGGGAAAAGGTGAAGGTCAAAGCACCATATTGAGACCGGGTCTTAAGTGTGGGGGCTTGAAGTCCAAGTTTAGACGGGGACCTGCACACCGTGATAGGTGTGGAATGGGTTGGTCTTGCTTGTGCCTAGGGCGCAAGCGGGGCGTGTGTTTCGAGGTACCCAGCTGGGATACATTGGTTCGCGAATCACCGTTTTCGTGAGACGGTACAACTTGGCCATGGTCTAGCACCATAAGAAGAACTGGAAGATGAAAGATGGTGAAATGGTTCTGATTGCTCAACCCTTGCTTGAAAATAGATCAGGTGCTTACCTAGAATGGTTAGCTAATGAAGTAATCATGACTACTAATAAAACTTGACCCTAAGAACGTACTATTAGTAATGCTCTTTCGCAAACAAAGGAAAACAGCAAACCATATTGCCTATCATATCCCTTAGAGTCGCGAGACTATTCTCACTAGTCGAGTAAGTCTTGCGAGTACATTGTGTAATCAGGGTTTATTTACCCTTGTTGCAAGTGCAGTTTGAGAAGTAGCCCTTGTGTGGAGGATTCTTCTGGTGGGCACAGACAAATCCTTGTATCTTTTCCGCTAGTTGTTTATTTTGATTTCCGTTGTTTTATTTATTGCACTCTGAACTCTGGTATTGTAATAAATAAATTCCAAGAACTCTTTGTCGTATGAAATGGACTAAATATTAGAAACTCGTACTCATTATTGGATTCTGGATGTAAAACGTGGATTGTTTCGAGTTCTCCCGTGGGGTGTGCTCGACGGAACTGTCCGGATTAGCTCTCTTTCGGGGTGCTTAGTGTCTAGTGGAAGATAAGCGCCTCCGAAGACGGGTTATTTCAGACGGTTCTGCCGCAAGTTTCAACTTAACTTGAAGAGAGAGAAAATCCGTAAGCAGTCGATAAGAATAAAAATTGAAAAATCAAAATTTAGATTCATGACTTCAGAAGATACATAATGCAACAAGAGCAAACATGATTAATGGTAATGTTTCAAAGTAATTGCATATTTAAATTGTAAAGAGGTGGTATGCAAAAAAATATGAATATGAATAAATATATATATATATATATATTAGTTCTTTGAAAGATAGTAATTAATAAGTTTATGATAACTAGATATAGACTACAAAGTATCTATAATACCTCTATGTTAGAAAATAAAAAAAATAAAACATATAATTTAATATAAGTAATTCTTTATTATAGTGGAATCTACTCCCTCTATTCCAAAGTATAAGACATTTTGAGTTATCTAAAATATAAAGCTTTTGCTATGCACATAGATGTACTGTCTAGATGTATAATAAAAATAATATATCTAGAAAAATCAAAACGTTTTATAATTTAAAATGAAACGATTATTAAATAATACCTAATACTTATAAGTATCTCGTAAAAGTCTAGCTCGTGCGACAGCACGGGTTGATGGACTAGTATGTATAAAAGATATTACACCTGCTTTGCTGCTTAGCCCACGAAACCGCTCAAGCTTCTACAAAGTTGTGGGTCCGCCACTGACAATAGAGAAACCTAATTTTTTGGCAAAATTTGCCACAGGACATCAATAAATTGTGGCTTTTGCCACAAGCCACTAAAGAAACATGTCTTTGCTACGAGACATCCTAAATCTGTCCTAATATGCCACGAGACACTAAACTTATTATTTTAGCTTATTTCAATAGACAACCACGTGAAATGACAAATATGGCCTTGCCTTTCCTCTTCCTGAATGCCTGTGCGGCCCGATTCTTGCAAATCCCCGCTGCTCCGCGCGCCGTCGCGCAACCGTCATTGAGGGCCACAGCCGCCGCGGAAGGACGTCGCTGCCGTCGTCTGCGGGCACCGCCCCCATGGAAGGACGCCACTGTCGCCGTCTGCGGGCGCCGCGCCGCCACCAGTAGGAAGCAAGCGCCGCCGCTAGGGAAGGACGCCACCGCCACCATCTGCGGGCGCCGCCAACAGGAAGGCAAGCGCTGCCGCTGTCTCACAGTTGTGGGGTCCGCTGCTGCCGTCTGCAGGTGCCGCCGGCAAGGGAGAGGTGCGCCACGCTGCCGCTTTCTTCCATACGAGGCATTTGGGGAGAGAAGGTAAGGGCATGTTCGTCATTTCGCGTGGCTGTCTATTAAAATCAACTATAATAATAAGTTTGGTGTCTTGTGGCATAATAATTCAGATTTAGGATGTCTTTTGGCAAAGACAGATCTTTTGAGTGGTTTATGACAAAAGCCACATTTTAACGGTGTCTCCTCGCAAATTTTGCCTATTTTTTTTTCCTAGATGAATCGACGCATGGTGCTTTGAGTTTCCTAGCTAGGAAGCCTGCTATTTTTCTTTGAAAGATCTGGTTACCCGGCTATATCATTAATAGCAAGGTGTCAGGAGAACAACGTTAGGGGGTATCTGGTTTCTCGTACTAAACTTTAAACTTTAGTCAGTGTCCGATATTTGGATATATGCATGCAACATTAAATATAGATTATTTACGAAATTAAATGCACAGTTTACGACTAATTTACGAGACGAATCTTTTAAGCCTAATTAGTCCATGATTTGACAATGTGGTGCTACAGTAAATATGTGCTAGTGACGGATTAATCAGGCTTAATAAATTCGTCTCACAGATTCTGTAAATTTTTTTTATTAGTATCCGAACACCACATGCGATACCCCTATGTGACACCTCCTAAACTTTAGTCACTGGATCCAAACAGCCCCTTAGATTATAGGCGCGAGTAGCGCTGTCTATTGCTAATTGATAGTGCTATTATGAAAATGTTTAATTTTGCACAAATCCTAGTTAAACAAGTTGTTCTAAATACTTACTCACCGTCAAAAAGAAAGTCGTCTAGAATTTTATACATATATTAAACTTTTTTAAGTTTAATTAGGTTTGGAGCAGGGCAAGTAAAGGCCGGCCACATATATGCTCTCTGTTACGCCGAGATAGTACAAAGCTAGCTGTTGACTGTACCAAACAGCGTACCATTACCATCAATGGCACTAGGCAGGCACATGCAGCTAGTAATGACTGCGACTACACGACGATTTCTTCCAGCTCGGTGTTCTTCCTACTGCTGGCCATCACCGTCGGCGGGGAAGGAGCTCAACGTGCCACCGGAGGTGTGTTTTGGTGGCGGCACGGCACGGTGGTGCGTGATGGACTCCCGCGCCTTACATGTTGTTGTCAACTCTAAAGGAGCTAGTGTGTGACATTGCCAATGACGATTGACGGACGACCGAGACCTTGCTGTTCCCTTCCCTGGTCAATACGTGCAGTTGCAGTTGCAGGCCTCCTATATAGGCTACCTCAGCGAGGCAGCGCCCAACCGAACAAGCCAGCTTTGTAGTAGACTGCAGGAGAGATTTCCTGAAAACCCAAGCTTTTGTGAGCTACCAACCACTACCAGTAAGCTTGGAGCAATGGACGCCATTAGTAACCAGACGATGAACTTCTGCCCGCCATCCATCGACAGGTACATCAAGAACCTCACGTCGTCATACACCGAGAAGAGCAACGAGGCGAGCATGGTGTCCGCCTCCGTCATCATGTTCGTGCTCGCCGGCCTCTTCTTCAACCTCAACCTCTTCAGCGGCATCTCCGACGTGAGCGCCACGCTGGACCCCAAAGTCCGCCTCTTCCTCTCCTCGGCGCTCTCCCTCCTGCTCCCCGTCATGTCCTACCTCTTCTCCGAGGCCAAGAACGCCGCCGTCGGCGCTAGCTTCTCGTCATCGGCGACGAGCGGCCGTGCGGCGGCCGAGCTATCGATGGGGGCCGGGCTGATCCTCGCGTGGATGCTCCTGGTCGAGCTCCTCCGCAAGAAGGTGGACGAGATCCGCATGCGCGGCTTCTCCGGCTCCATCCAGCGCGCTGGTCGCGTCGTCTGGCTGGGAAGCCTCGTCTTCTTCAACATCAGGAGCACCGGCCGGAAGGCGCTGTTCGCCATCCTCTGGATCCTCTGTGCCACCAGGGTCGTGCAGAGGATCGCCTACACTGAGATCGGCAAGAACTCGTACGCCCATGGCAAGAACGCCCGGCTCATCAACTCCTACATGGCCAAGAAGCTGGAAGAAGACGAGGAGCGTCGTCAGGCTGCCGCTGCCCCACGGGGTGCTCGCCATGACGACGACGTCGAGCAAGCTGCCCATCAGGTCAACAATGGACGCGACCTGCTCGAGAGCTGCAGCTACATTGTCATGGGAGAGGAGAAGATGGTGCGGCAGCCAACCGCAGACGGCTACGAGCTCGACCTGACCACCCTTGGCGGTGGCGACAGTGGCGGCGTCATCACTGTCGGCAAAGTCTGGGAGCTCAACGAGAACGACGACACCTTCGCCTCCCCCAGCGAGGTTCAGCGACTCAAGAGACTCTGCCTCTCGTTCGCTCTCTTCAAGCTGCTGCGGCGGAAGTTCGAGCGGCTTCCGGCGGTGACCGACAAAGAGGCAGAGGACTGCCGCAGCCTCATCTTTAGAGGCCTGCTGCACCACAGCCGCAACGCCGGTGGAAACAGCGCGGCGGCAGAGGAAGTGTTCCAGGTGATGAACGACGAGGTCGTCTTCCTCAGCGAGTACTACCACTCCGTCGTGCCCGTCGTGCTCGCGAGCCCTTTCTTCCTCTTCGTGAACTACTTCCTCGTCCTCGCCGTCGTGGCCGCGCTGTGCGTCATGACCGTCATCCTCTGCGGCAACGGAGACGCCGTGTACGCGTTCACGAGCATCGGCGACGACAACTACACCTTTCGCGCCGGCATCGGCAAGATCGCCATCTGCCTCGTCCTCAAGGCCAAGAACTCGCCGGAGGCTTTCTTCTCCATCGTGGACCTCTCCATCACGCTGCTCCTGTTCGTCATCTACTTCTACGAGGAGATCTGGGAATTCTTCGTCTTCCTCCTCTCCAACTGGTTCATGGTATCACTGGTCTGCAGCTACATGGCTAAGCCCCACTGGCGTGACAGCCCATGGATCCGGTACGCCTTCCACCGGATCATCTGGCTGAGGAGCATGCTCAACCATGGCAGCCTCAGCTTCCGGCAGTTCTCCGTGCTGCACCATCGCTGGCCACTCGGACTGCCGTTCTTCTCCACGCTGTCCTTGGTTCTCAGAACAGAGCTGGTGCCCAAGAACCTGAAGCACTCCATCATAGAACGCCTCTTGGATTTGGACCATGGCCATTGCACTGGTGGTAGCACTGCGTATCATACTCCTCTTTCGAATGGCAAGGCCGCTCTGCAGAGCAACATCTTCCTCTTCGACAAGCTCTCGTGGGCGTGCCGGAGCGACAGCGTCTCCGAGGTCTTCCTCACATGGCACATCGCCACTTCCATCTTGGAGGTGCAGTCTGGTCAGCAGCGGGGAGATGAAGCGGCGGCGCAGAGAACGGCGGTGAGGCTGTCCAAGTACTGCGCGTACCTGGTGGCCTTCCACCCGGAGCTTCTGCCGGACAATCCCGAGAAGACGGAGCGTGTCGTCGACGACATGAAGGCGGAGCTGGGCGGCATCTTCTGTTGCTGGGAGTACTACCTGTTGTCCCAGAGCGCACGAGCTAAGAAGATCATGGACGCAGCAACGTCTACAGGTAGTGATCAGGTGAACGGGGTTGTCAGAAATGGTGGGAAGCTGGGGAGCTTGCTGGATGGTTTCCGAGTAGCTGATGCATGGAAGGTGTTGGCCGATGTGTGGACGGAGCTCATCGTCTTCGTGGCGCCGTCGAGCGACGAGGAGCGCGTCAAGGGGCACCAGGACGTGCTGGTGCAAGGAGGCGAGTTCATCACCGTGCTCTGGGCGCTGACCACGCACATCGGCGTGTCTCACGGTGCCAACAAGTTACCGGTGAAAACTTTAGAAGACCTGATGGGTGAATCCATGCGTAATGCACCCCACATTGCCCCGGAGATAAGCATCATGTAGGAGTAGTTGCTTTGTAAAGAGTTAGTTTATTGATTGTATTCGGAAACTACTTCGAGATATATGTATGTAATGTACTCCTAGGTCATTTTAAAGTTGAGGACTATGGACCACTTCTGGGATGGAGACGCTCCGCTCGCCCCAACCACCCCCCTCCCCTCTCAGCCCGCCGGCCGCCGCCCCGGCACCGCCGGCCACCGAGCCTTCCTCAGCCTCCAAAGGTAAGGGGCCAACCTCCCTCTCTCCCAACGTCATCCCCTTCTTCCCCTCCGGGACACCGGGGTGCTCCAAGGCCATGCGGTGGTCCGAGGATTCCGATTTCTCCGACGACGACTACGAGGCCGAGTCTGCACCGCCGCCACAGTGGTCCTACACCGACGCCGTACGCCGGGGCTCTCCGACACAGGCAGGCATGGAGGCAGGGTCTAATCCCCAGCCGCACACCTGTGTCCTCGATGAGCAGCCGACGGAGGTCACAGAGGTGGGGAAATCTCATCGCCCGCGCAAGAGGGGGAAGCGCCGACGGAAGCCTCGGCGCCCAAAGTACCTCGAAGAGCAGGCTCCAGCGCACATCTGAGTTCCTTCGCCGCAGCTTCTCGGCCGTCGCGACAGGACCGGGAGCGGGTGCCGGCGCACCTACGCCTCGCCCAGCAGGTTCACCCCAGCGAGCGCACGGCTGCACACCTCCGCCTCGGCCCGCGTATCTCTCTGCCTGATGCTGACGGCTGGAGGAAAATCCTCCCCAGGCAGGCGGACAACCAGGGACGCCTCACCGACCACCGGAATGAGAATCGCCCGCAACATCTTCGCCGCCGGAAGATCCCCGACGCCATGCGGGACAGGTGCCCCAACTGTCTATCCTATTCACATCGGATAGCCACCTGCTGCCGGCCGCTGAGGTGCTAGAACTGCCACGGCACCCGGCACATGGCCCGGGACTACAAGCGGCCGCGCTCCCCAGCCAATGGTGGCAGTGACAATGGCGCTGCGGACCGTTTCGTCCATGCTCGGCGAGGCCCGGATAGCCCAGGCACGCCGGCTGGCTCCCAAGCTAGCGGCTCCACCCCGCCCATCAGCCCGCCACAAGGCACACCCGGGAGCCCACTGCCGGAGCAGCGGGACCCGCTGCCGCCCGGCCACCCGGAGGAGCGGCAGTGGGAAAGCGCCTGCATCATCCAACGCGGCGCAGCGATCGACGAAGCCGAAGCCAGCCGGCGTCTCGTCATCACAGCACTCCTGGCTGACGCGACACGCGAGGCCTCCGTCACAGATGCTTCACGCGCACTGCGTACCATTTGCGGCGGCGTAGCTGAGGGATCCTTCACCGTGAAGCCGTTCTACCCCGAGCACTTCCTCATTGAATGCCATTCAAGCGAGGTCAGGGACCGAATTCTAGGGGCGACGCCTGTGCCAATTGCCGGCACATTCCTGACCCTACGGCCATGGACTCGTCAGCCCAACGGTCGTCCGCGTGATAGGGATCTTTAGTCCCGGCTGGTATTACTATTTGGGACTAAATGTGACTAAAGGTAAACATTTAGTCCCGGTTGGTAATAACAGCCGGGATTAAAGGTTTTAGTCCCGGTTTGGGTGATACCACGGAAATAAATATTAATCTTTAGTCCCGGTTTGGCCACCTAACCGGGATTAATTATGCCGGTCTATACACTAGCTCATTTCTTCCTTCCCGAGCCCGAGCCATTCCATTCAAACTCACTGACTCTGTTGTTCAGCTTGCTGTTGTTCTTGCTCTCTCCCCCTCCATTGGTGTTGCTCTTCGATTTTGGAGGTAACAAACTTAATCCTCTTATGTTTTATCAGTAGCTTATCTCATTTTGCGATGTAGATGCATGTATAACTTTATATGTTGGACTTTATTATGATTTTATATGTCATTTTTAGCTCAAAATCACATGATGATTTGCATATATGTTTGGATAAACAAAAGTTAAATTAGTTCATCAAAATCACGCCTCGCTTGTCCTCGCTGGAGCACGCGCCATCCTCGTCCCCGGTGGCTTACGTGATCTTAGAATTAATTTTTTCATGAAATAAAAAACTTAGAAAATAGTTAGAAAATTGTAGAAAATCCGTACTAGTTGAACTTGCGAACCGTGATCATCTCGGCGAGCATTTTCTCTGTCGAGCGATAACGGACGTCAAGGAGGAGCTTTGATTCTACGAGGGAGAGCGGCAACGGTCGTGGAAGACCGTGTTCCCTTCCTCGTAGAATCGGAGCTCTTCCTTGGCCAAGTACGGTGCCGTCCGGTGGAGAAATGCTCGCCGAGATGATCACGTAAGCAAGGTCAACTAGTACGGATGGTTATTTATTGAAACATGTTTTTGAGCTATGTGATTTCTATGTCATTTTTAGCTCAAAATCACATGATGATTTACAATAGTAAAATCACTTGATAGTTTGGTATTTTACTATTATACATAGTACATATTTCATGGTTTAGTTAGATAAATAAATAATTTTAGTTTTGTTTAAATATACTATTTTAGAAAATGTGAAATTTACAGTAGTTTGCAAAAATAAGTATAGAAAGTAGATGACAACTGGTACCGGATCCTCGGCCTCTCGTTCGGTTGTGAAACGACTGAGGCCAGAACTCCCTCTCATTATCTGCGGCAAGTGTAAGCAGAAGATTGTGATGGAGTACCGAGTCAAGAGACAGGGACTCAACAAGGGTCGTGTTTTCTACAAGTGTCCGGATTGCGATGTGAGTTTCTTACGCATTTGATTATTATGGCTAATTGACCTGCTTTTCTTGAATATTTTTGACTAAATATTTTTTGGCTTTAATTTCAGTGGGAGGGCAATGGATGTGATGGTTGGTACTGGGAGGAAGATTATGCTACATATATGCAGAATTCGGCTGCTGCTGATGAGGCAGTGAGCCAGCAGAAGAAGCTTATTGATATTGAACAGAAGAATGATTTGTCTGTTTTAGTTGCGTATGATCACGAAATAATTATGTTACTGAAGTGCATTGTAGTTTTAGTTTGTTTAGTGATAGTTGGGATTGTTTACGTTGTAGCCAGGCTTAGTTAATTAATCAACCGTGTGTGTGTCATCTATGTTGTGTAATAAAATACTTAATTATGTTCAAGGTTTTCATAATTTGTCGTGTAATACATATTATGTCACGCCATTTGATGTACAATGCCGATCGCCGCTCCCAAGACTTTATTGAGGGCTTGCACTATTTCTTAGGTGTGGCCGAGGCAAATAAGCGGAATGGTTTCATGTGCTGTCCATGTGCCCTATGTAAGAATTTAAAGGAATATTCAAGCTTAATGAGTCTTCATTCATATTTGCTTAAGTCAGGTTTCATGTCAAACTATATATGTTGGACTAAGCATGGCGAAAGCGGGGTCATGATGGTAGAAGGTGAAGGAGAAGATTTAGACATTGATGATATTATTGCTCAGTATGGTGCCTTTGATGATACTACAATGGGGGGAGATGAAGAAGGGATAGCGGTAGAAGATGATCTCGGTGATGCTCTTGGCGATGCCATTCGTGATGCACAACAAGAATGGGAAAGTGAAAAAGAGAAAGTTAAGTTCGAGCGCATGCTTGAGGATCATAGGAAGTTGCTATACTCGACGGCCGAAGAGGGGCAAAAAAAGCTGGGTACAACACTGGAATTGCTACAGTGGAAGGCAAAGAATGGTGTATCCGACAAGACATTTGGGAATTTATTGAACCTCATAAAGAAGATGCTTCCGAAGCCAAATGAATTGCCCACCACTACGTACGAAGCAAAAAAGATTGTCTGCCCTTTGGGATTAAAAATCCAGAAGATACATGCATGTCCTAATGACTGCATCCTCTACCATGGTAATGAATACGAGAATTTGGATGAATGCCCGGTATGTAAAGCATCGTGGTATAAGATCAGGCGCGATGATCCTAGTGACGTCGAGGGTGAACAACGTCCTAGAAAGAAAATCCTTGCCAAGGTTATGTGGTATGCTCCAATAATACCACGCTTAAAACGTTTGTTCAGAAATAAAGACCATGCAAAGTTGTTGCGGTGGTATAAAGAAGACCGTAAGGTAGACAATATGCTGAGACACCCAGCTGATGGGTCCTAGTGGAGAGCGATAGACAGAGAATTTCTAGAGTTTGCAAATGAGGCTAGAAACTTAAGGTTCGCCTTAAGTACAGATGGTATGAATCCTTCTGGAGAGCAGAGCACTAGTCATAGCACTTGGCCAGTTACTCTATGTATCTACAACCTTCCTCCATGGATATGCATGAAGCAGAAGTTCATTATGATGCCGATCCTCATCCAAGGTCCGAGGCAACCTGGCAACGATATTGATGTCTATCTGAAGCCATTAGTTGAAGAACTTCTAGTTTTATGGAACAAACCAGGTGTACGTGTCTGGGATGAGTACAAACAAGAACACTTTGACCTACGAGCAATGTTGTTCGTAACAATCAATGATTGGCCTGCTTTAAGTAATCTTTTAGGTCAGACAAATAAAGGATATAATGCATGCACACATTGTTTTGATGACCTTGACAGTATATATTTGAAAAGATGTCGAAAGGTCGTGTACCTTGGCCATCGTCGATTCCTTCCTTTGAATCACCAAGTAAGAAAGAAAGGGAAGCATTTTAAAGGTAAGCCAGACCACCAGAAGAAGCCTCATAACCGAACCGGGGAAGATGTACTCGCAATGGTCAAGGATGTAAAAGTAGTATTTGGAAAGGGACAAGGCAGTGAATCTGTTCCCAAAGATGCTAAGGGACACGCACCCATGTGGAAGAAGAAGTCCATCTTTTGGGAGCTACCCTATTGGCAAGTCCTAAAGGTCCGCAACACAATCGACGTGATGCACCTGACAAAGAATCTTTGTGTGAACCTGTTAGGATTCATGGGTGTGTACAGTAAGCCAAAGGATTCACTTGAAGCATGCCAGGACTTGCAGGGCATGAAAGAACGAGACAACCTTCATCCAGAGAAGACAGATGATGGACGTCA